GGCGCGAGACAATTTCATTACACGGGCTTTGTTCGGTTCCCGATGAGGAACAATGGCCGATGGTCAATGGAACATCATTCCGAATTATGAGCGTCTTGTGTTGCATGCGGGACCGGGACGAAGACAAAAAGGAGACATAGAATGCAAATGGATTACGGGGACGCCGGAGGCGGGGAATGTTGGAGATGTGGACAACTAGGTCATGATGCCAATTCATGTCCGTTCTCGCACCAGTGAGTAGATAGAAGACACTGTGAATGACAATTTGGAATTGAGTGTAATTTCTTGTTCTTGCAAGTTATTTAGTGTTTGATAAATTTATGTGAACATTGATAAATTCGGATTGTAATGTGAACATTGAATTTTTCGGATTGTAAAGTGTGATGAAATATGTACTATTTTTCATAATCAAAATCGGATTGTGCAAAATACTCATCATTGTAAGGTTTTGTGAAGAATTCGGATTTCAGAAATCCGAGCTCAGAGTTTTTTTTTTGAAATTGCAAAGGACTCGGATTTCAGAAATCCGATTGGGTGAAAAGCATCCGAGAGTTGCCATTTGAGGAGAAACAGGGGAGATTCGGATTTCCTAAATCCGAGCTCAGAGATTTTCTCGAATTTACTAAGAACTCGGATTTATGAAATCCGTGTTTGTGAAAAGCATCCGAGAGTTGCAATTTGAGGAGAAACAGGGCAAATTCGGATTTTGTAAATCCGAGCTCAGAGACTTTCTCGAATTTACTAAGTACTCGGATTTAGGAAATCCGTGTTTGTGAAAAGCATCCGAGAGTTGAAATTTGAGGGAAATAGGGAAGACTCGGATTTAGCAAATCCGAGTTTGACGGGACTATATATTGTTCCGTCAACTCTTCCCTTCCCATTTTTCCCCCAATTCGAAAATTAAAAAACCCTAAAACTAAACTCCAATTAAACGCAAATCCGGCTACTCCCACCACTCAATCCGCGACTCCTCCACTCCTCCGTGATTTCCGGCGACTCCCACCACTCTCCGGCGACTCCATTTCCGGCGACTCTCCTCCCTCTGGACAATCCGGCGTGTCTCCTCAAATACTCTCCACCTCCGGCGACTCCTTGCAATCCGGCGACTCCCTCCGAGACTCTCCACCTCCGGCGACTTCCTCCACTCCTCCCGACTTCCTCCATTCCTCACCGTAAGTTTGAAATTCGCGATCCTCTCTTTATTTTTTTTGTCAAAATTTTTTTTTCTTTGTGAAATCCGAGTCCTTTTTTTTTGAATTGTGGTTGGTTTGTGTTGATATAGTGTTTGTGTTGAATTTAAATTGTGTCTATTGTGAATTGCTTATAGTTTGGTAGTCTTGTTTATTTGGCCGAATAATTTGAAGTTTGGTTGATTTGTTTTTGGCCGAGTGTACATCGTTTGGTTGATTTGTTATTTGGCCGAATGTATATAGTTTGGTAGTCTTGTTTATTTGGCCGAATAATTTGAAGTTTGGTTGATTTGTTTTTGGCCGAGTGTACATCGTTTGGTTGATTTGTTATTTGGCCGAATGTATATAGTTTGGTAGTCTTGTTTATTTGGCCGAATAATTTGAAGTTTGGTTGATTTGTTTTTGGCCGAGTGTACATCGTTTGGTAGTTTTGTTATTTGGCCAAATGTATATGGTTTGGTAGTCTTGTTTATTTGGCCGAATGTTTATGGTTTGGTTGATTTGTTTTTTTGGTTACCTTGTGTAGGATTGAAATGGCGACGCCGGCATCGGCTCCCAATATGACTATCAACCTAAACATCTTCACCCGGACCTATACAAGATAAAATGCTATATCGTCAAACAAAGCATAGGTCCCAAGTGTCTATGAGAACAGGATACCGGACATTAAGACATTCCGCCTCAAGGGCCGTAGGTACGACAGCGATTTTGGGCGTTATATAAAAATACGGCCCGGAGGTTAAGGAAGTCATTAGGAGAGCCGGTTTGAGGGGATCATGAAGGTAGGGTACAAAGAGTTGATCTAGGCCTCATTACCGCGTTGGTGGAACGGTGGAGGCCGAAACCCACACTTTCCATTTTAATTTCGGAGAGGCGACGGTGGCGCTACGGGACGTCGAGGTCTGTTTGGTATTCGGGTTGATGGTGACCGGTGTACGGCACGACAGTTAGCCGAGCTGCAGATGAATGGAGGATCGATGTGAGGCTTATTTGGGATTCCGGCCGGCGATTGTAAATGGCCAATGTGTCAATGTTAGTATTTTCGAAGATGAGATGGGCGTGCACTACCTTCAAATTCCACGCCATCGATTCGAGCAAAGGGCCAGGACACTTATACTGCATTTTATTAGCAGTTTCATGTTTCGAACAAGGCGCGAACACTTGTCAATCTGATTCTTGGCGGAGTTGAGGATTTGGATCGGTGTAGTCGATACGGTTGGGGATCGCACCGCTTGGTGGGTTGTACTACGGCCTATGCGAGGCATCACAAGTATACCATGCACGACGCCACCGGGTGTCTATATTTGCTCTGGTACATATTAGTTTTCATATTGTGCTTTAATTATTTTGCGCTTTCGACGTTATAATTTGAAGTTTCTACATTATTATTGCAATTTACTAGGTATGGGCGTATGAGCGGATCGAGAGGATCGCGCCCCAAAGAAAAGGAGTAGATTATTTGCTTGATGAGACCGCTCCATTAGCTCGGAGTACGTATTTTCGTTCAAAATAACTCAACGTTTAATTCTATTTGTTTCTTATTCATTTATTTCACTAATTCAAATGTACCCCTTTGTTTATTAAGGTGGGAATGTAGGTACACGTACGGCGACGCCCCAAGGAGCAGCACTCCACCGTTTAGAGATCAATTAACAAGTCTGCGTGTTGAAGATGTAAGTACTTGTAATTTGGTATTTATATTTACTTTGAGATCAATTACCCCTTTCTTTTGGTTTCGGTTGTACCATCTAATGAAATTTTTTTCGTGCGAGTTTCGGTGGCAACCATATGCACATGTCCTCCATAGACTCACGATTTACGTACACAAGGCCAAGCCATTTGGACGACTAGGTGTTGGATGTTCTGTTTGGCTATTAGGGAACCCCACGAGTCGGGCGAGTCGTAAGACAATTTGGATACATACGGGATGTTCCCAAGCGCCCCATGATTAAAGATAACGCAGCATTTCTTCTCGATCACGCCCACGGTATGCAGGTATCCTAGCAATAATTGGGAGGATCACCATTCCATGATGACGCCGTCATTGGAATAGGAGAAAGAGTTCGTGCTACGAGATTTGGAGGAAGGAGATCCTGGTTCCGTATATGAGGGTACTATGAATGGTTTATGGTGAACACTGTCGATTGATATCCAATCCCGTAATTATGAACCTCAAGGATACGAGACTTCTTCGAGCCGCGTGAAATTATATGTGAGTTAATTGTAGATTTCTTTTATTATTTCTTATGTTTCCATTTTTTTCATTTTTTTAGAACTTTACTCTCTTAATTAACGTCCCAATTTCTTTTCGGGGTGAAGTATTGAACAACATTCGCGTGAGTACCAGAAGTTTAGAGAAAAACGAGAAGATGATAATCTCCTAGACGAAGAACTTGACAAGCATTTGGACGATATCATCAATCAAACACATCCGCTTTAACCTTGGCGCAAATGATGAGATGGAGGTGGATGATACCCAAATCTGGTTGATGAAGATCCATTTTCCCCTCACAACCTCCGCAGGGTAAAAAGCGAAACCGTGGTCAAGAGATAAGATTGGAGGAGGAAGAAAGAGAAAGGTCACAATCCCCTCGGACATCGCAACAACAAGGCGAGGGTCAACAAAATGAGGATCAAGCACATTCCTCTCGAGGCTCATTTTGAAGAAGTTGGTGGACCGAGACTCGGTTTGACATTGGTGGACCCGAGACTCGGTTTGACATTGGTGGACCGAGACTCGGTTTGGTGGACGATCGCAACCACAACCGGAGTCAAATTTATCACCATGGGAGTCCCAATCTCAACCCCAAATCGAGGCTCGGTTTTGTGGACGATCGCAACCACACCAAAGTTCAATACTCACATATCTTAAGAGGAGACAGGATCCGACAGGGCCCAAACAAATACACTCGGATGCGCATAATAAAGGAAAAGGGAAAAAATGAGACATTTCATTATTTTGGACATTTATTGTAGTTTTTGTATTGAACTTTTTATGAAACTTGATTTATTTTGTTGTTAATTGAATGCCGTTTATTGTTTTGTTGTTATTAAATTCCTATTTTCCAATCTTTCATTGTTGTTGGTCTTGTAAACATGTTTAGAATTGGTGAAAATCAGTCAATTTTTTTCGATTCGACAAAGACTCGGATTTGCGAAATCCGAACCCAGACTTTTCTAAAGGATTCGGATTTGAAATCCGAGTCCGTGGCCAATAGAGTCACCATTTTGAAAACGAAGCGATTCGGATTTGTAATCCGAGTTCGCCCAATTTAATTTTTCAACACATTTTTTTATAGTATCAGGAAATTAATATTTTATTCATAAAATCGGATTTATAAAATCCGGATTTAGATTAATTACACTAATTTTTGTCATTAACTTAATTTCGATTTACGTAATACAAAGTCGGATTTTAATAATCCGAGTTTAGTTGGTCGGATTTCGAAATCAGTTTTCCCCATTCGATTTCCTAAATCCGGGGCATATAAATTTGTCCACAAGGTTTAAAAAGTTTTATTTTTGTCTAGGTTTTTTTTTTTACATATATTTAAGGAAAAAATTCTACAATTTCGTTGCCTTTTCCATTGGCTTATTTAAATAAAGATGGACCATTTATAGTACAACCTGATGTGAATGATGAGCCCACTTGTGATCAGTACAAATGCACAATAAAATGATGTCTGATTTTGTTAACACGAAAAAGTAAAGTCGACGCCTTAAAAGCTTTACCAGGATACGCCGCCCAAAGTGGGAAAGATTTTCTACTTGACAGTAAAGAGAAATACAAATTGGCGACTGGAAGTAGAAATGAGCTTAGGATTCATCGCCGTCGCCAGTACGGCCGACGTCTTATCCTTCACGCGCCGCCCCCGGTTCTCACTGCCTCCGCACCACCACCTGGACCGCTCCCCGTTACTCAACCGTCTTACTCTTACTCTTACTCCTCGTAGTACACTTGCTGCGAAGAATCGGTTCCCGCTCTACAAGGAGTGCTTTCCGTCTCCGTGGAGGCCACGCGCCGTCTTGGGAGATGGAGGTGGTTTGGAATGGCAGCAGGACGCCGGAGCCACAGCCTTGGTGGTCGCCGGGGCTTATGCTCTCGTCTCCGCTTTTGATAGCCTCACCGGCCGTAATCTCATTCAACAGGTTCTTTTCTTTTGCACTCACACGTACTTCTGATGTGTATATACTATGCATGATGGTGTAATTTCGAGTGTCGTTTGTAATTGATATCGATTTTCGTGGATTTCGTGTCAATGGTTGCTTTTAGTTATGCATTTCTTTTTGCTGCTATCAAAATTTGGGTGAAGTTTGCATCAAAATGTACCAAGGTGTATTAATGAATTTTAGCGTTCTCTGTTTAAGGCCTTTAAGTTTAGGACTGTAAGCTTATAAACCATTTACAAATTAGCTTACCCTTGGGATAAGGTCATGATTTATGTACGTTCTTTTATATAAAATGAAGCTGATAATTGACTTGTGAGTTCTGGGACGCAATTCATATGACTCTCCCATATTGGATAGGAGTGGGCCTGCTTAGATATTTTTGCCATCCTCCGATATCCTGCTGGGTACATTATGCTATTAGGCTGGTAACAAGAAGATTAGTCTGAAAGTTCTGGAGCATATTCATTACGGAATCGAACCCTTTGACTTGTGATCTCCGCTGCTTTCTCTTTAAGCTAGTTGGGGGATGTTGAACAATTTCTAGTAGTGGAAATCGAACAAGTCAAAGGTCCTATCCCTGTTAACTCATTTCAGTTCCTCGCAAATAATAGAATTGTCATTGAACTGAGGAATGCACAAACAGGATGCCTGCCCATCGCATTTGGAGTAGCTGTATTGACAGTTTCCCCTTGTTTTTTAGTTTTTACAAGTTTCAAGGCTGATATTTTTAATTTATTAGATGATCGTGAACAATTAGCTCTCGTTTCGCCGTATGTAACTTTTAACTTGTTTTACATAAAGGATATGAAGCTATCCATAATGTGAGACTTTGATATATGGACAAGCAGTTTTTAAAATTTATCTGGGTTATTAATGAATTTGCTCTTCATGTTTCTGTTTTCTTTGTTTTGATTCTTCATTTCTTCTGCAGAGTTTAAGCAGAAAACTGGTCCATATACTTAGTGGCTTATTTTTCTTGGCATCCTGGCCAATTTTCAGGTATTGATTGCAAATCGCCTTGCTCTAAATTTTTATGAATTTTGCCTTGAATACCTCTGCTGATTATGACATCTTAGATTAGCACATCCACAGGAGCTCGATACTTTGCTTCTATAGTTCCCTTTGTTAACTGCTTGCGACTTCTTATTTATGGCCTTTCCTTGGCTAAGGATGAAGGACTCGTAAACTCTGTCACTCGAGAGGGAAAGCCAGAGTAAGTTCAAGCCGTCATTTCACATTTGTGTCTAATGCATTGGAATTTATGGCACTACTTAGTAACATCCTCTATTTCCTCTCAGGGAATTGCTAAGAGGACCTCTATACTATGTTCTGATGTTGATTTTGAGTGCAATGTTCTTCTGGCGTGATTCTCCAGTTGGGGTGATTGCGGTGTCAATGATGTGTGGTGGTGATGGTATGAGGCAAACCTTTGTTTAATGCATTTGCTTTGCAATGAATGTGTATAACTTGGCTTTCAAAGTTGCAGGCATTGCTGATATCATTGGGCGAAGATTTGGATCCGTAAAACTGCCTTACAATCACCGTAAGAGTTGGGCTGGTAGCATCTCCATGTTTGTATTCGGTTTCCTGGTCTCCATTGGGTGAGTTTGCAGGCCAATCCCTTGATTTGTAAATTCATATTTTGGAAGGATACATGCGTTCCCCACTCAGTTTAACTTCTAATAATATTAGACATTCTATTTCATGTCATTTTCCAGAATGCTGTACTACTTTTCATCCCTTGGATACTTTGAATTGAATTGGAACAACACAATCCAAAGAGTTGCTTTTGTTTCCCTGGTGGCAACTCTGGTGGAATCGCTGCCTATCACTGGGAAAGTAGATGATAATATCTCAGTTCCTTTAGCAAGCATGGTAGCTGCATATTTAAGTTTTGGATTGTAGCTAACAGGAAAGAGTACAGTATTCAATGTGTATCTGTATCATTTTCTTCTCGGTAGAAACGCATTGTAATCGGTAATATTTTTCCCATATATACATCTTTCTTCGGGTAAATTCATCTTGCAAAGCAAGAAGACTAGGACACTTTTCAGTTTTGCTTGCATTTGTCGAGAAGTAGAATACCGAACTGAGGCTGTAATGTGCAAAACACTATCGATCAATAAATCTAAAGTGATGGAGCGGGAAATTCAGTTTAATTGAAGGTAAGCAAAGGTGAAACAACAAGTTCTCAAAGCCACTGTGATGGTGGATGGATACTATGTGGGAGGAGACTGGAGAACAATGCGAAACATTCATTCCTAACGGTGTAAGGAGATAACTTACAGAATAACATTTTTACTTTAGTGGGCTACCACTCCCTGGGTTAGTAACCCAGGGACAACTGGACTAAAAAGGTTAGCTAGAGCCTATCCTGGACCAAGGCCCAGAAAAGAAGATGGAGAATTTTCTGGGTTATGTATCTCCTTCCATTATCATTTCAGACTTTTGTGTTTCATGTTCTCATTTTTCTGGGTCTGTAATCTGTATACAAGAAATGAGGATTAAATTAAAAAAAAAAACAATTGGTACACTTTACTTATATCCATAATATAATCTGCGAACTATGTAATTGTTTTTCAATATCCACCTGGTTCTGCATAGACCGAAACACGACTTACTTGTCTCCTGTACGTGGAAAATGTTGTTTCCAGATATGAAATGATACTATATACTTCGGTCCTAAATATATTTTGTTTTTTTCTAAATTTATTTATTATATTTTTTCAATTGAAAATAAATCTTAAAAATGGCTAGAGAGGTAATATATATGGATTACTGAGTTTTTTTATTAAAAAAAAAAGAAAAAAATTTGGTGTCCAAAAATTCTCGTATTTTTTGTCACTATTCGCTGAGTTTCTTCACCACAATGTCACCAGCGGTCTTTGTTACAATCGTATTAGCCAAGTGACCTTTCAGAAAAGATGAAAGAGTATTTTAGACTTTTTAGTATCAGTCTATATATATATATAAAAATCTAGATCCTGTAATCTCACTGAGAACTCCGACGTTACAAAGGTTGTAGCACTGAAACTTGCTCGATTTGTCACTTTCAACATAGTAGTATTTGCTTCATAAGTTGCTCCAAACGTAAAAACAAATCCCTCTAATTTCGAGGTACGAGTCATTTCTCCTTGTAGTCTCTACTTCTTGCTCCTGCTCTGTCTTCTTTTTAGTACTTAGATAATCGTATTTAATCAGCAACCAAACCCAAGGCTCCAGTTTTATTTGTGTTTTATTTCCTTTTTCTTTCTTAGCCTGAAAAAAAGAAAAAAAAAAAAGAAAAACAAGAGGCGAAAATCCATTTGCCAATTAAAAGACTTCGTGGCTAGTGATCATGATAAAGATGAGTGATTATAACTATGAGGCTGGGATTCAAATCTTCGAGAGAGTATTTATATACTACTAGTATGTTTTTTGAACCAAAACTTTAATTTCTACTTAATATCGGAGGTAACTAGATTTTGTAGAGGAGTGGATCGAGCATTATCAATTGTTTAATATATTTTTCCGTTACAGAAAATCAATTTACTTTATCAAACTAAGATAATATTCCCTTCAGTCATAATAATTACAAAGTGCTAATTTGTGCTTTATAATTAAAATCAGATGGAAAATGAGCTTTTTTCAAGGAAAAAAAAAAAGAGGGGAGGAAATATAAAATGACTAATGATGTAAGAGTAACATAACAAGTCAACCAGCCCAGGTCACATTACTACGTTGGTGTTGGAAAGTTCGGAATGCCTTTTGATTCATTAATTCCAGCGGTTCTTGGTGGGTTAGTAGTGGTCCTTTACATTTGAATGCTTCCTAAAAATCATGCATCTTTTGACCATTTCATTTGTCCTACTAAGAAAATGAAAATGATTTATTATTATTTCGTGGAAAAGAAATTGTCAAAACCCACTTAATCGAAGCCACATTTTAAGAACCAATCAACTCATTAAATCATGAATCAAGTGATGGTTATAAAGTTTTGTTTTTTTTTTTTAGACCAAAATCAATTACAAACTAATACTTTTAAATAAAAAGAGATAGCACATGTTCGGATGTTTTGAAGAACTCATGAACTATATTTGATTATGGTTTTTAATTAAAAATTTACTAGTAAAACATTTAGCCTTCATTCACTAATTTAGGATTATGGTGATGGTGTGGTTTTTGCTCGAGAAGAAAAACAAAAAAAGTTTTGGCCATTTTGGCATTTTTCATCGTATTTCCACCCGAAGAAAAAGAGATGATGGATGTAACATTATGAATTCTCAAATTTTAAGGGAAGAAACCCGTAAACCTGTCAAACTTTATAGGGGGGTCAATACGAATTAAACTATATATATTGATGAAATTCGAAGAAATTTCTTCGTTGAAAGTGATTGATGCTCCTTCCAAAAAAAGTTTTCTGGATGGAAAGAACAAATTAACTTATAATTAAATCAATTTTCATGTGGTTCAGTAGCTGGTCATTATTTTATTCTAAATATTAAATTTGGTGGGAGTCAGAACTCAGAAATAAATAATGGGTCCTGCATAAGAATCGATTTTTTTTATATATAAAAAACAATTTTAATAGTTTGGATCCAAAAAAAAAGTGTGGAAAAGTAACATGATCTCCAAACAATTAAAAAGTTTGGTACTTTTTTTTTTTTTTTTTATGGTAGCACATATCTATATTTCTTAATGCCGTTTATTCTCCTGATAGAAAAGAAAAGTGATACATCCAGCAATATTTCTCAAAAGAACTTACAAAGAAATGCCCACAAAACATAATTAGTGAATCTTAAAAGGAAATGCAGTCCCCTGCGGAACTCTCTTTAGTAGCCTGTTATTTGTGAATTATTCTTTGAGATAGAGATAATCCCTTTTACCCTATTAAAGCAGAAAACAGGATGCTGATGTGGCAATTTTTTATTAAAATGTTTTGGTTCCAAATGCACCATATTGCATAACTCATTCTGCCACGTGTCACGTCCTTTTAAAAATAAAAAATATATATTTACAATATTAACGAAGAGATCAGATGGCCATGTTCATTCAAATTTTGAATTTGACAGTGTATGAAATTTTCCTTCTCCATTTATTTAGGACTTTTGAAAAAATTAATTTTCGATCAATCAATTATTTTCATCAAAAACTAAATTAATTCCTAATCAGTTTTGATTATTTACATATCAATTTATTAGGTGGGACGCCCCCGGGCATTTGCCCGAGACAAGCATCTAGTACTATATTATTCTAACTAATTCATTAAAATGAACTTATTTCTGTGAGAGAAAGAATTTTACCTCTTGAAAATAATGCTATTTAAGAAAAGTGTTATATGAAACAAAGATCAAATAAACAAAAATATTAAGTAAATTTAGTTCTAATTTTTATCTTATAATTAGGACCAGAGGGAGTAGTAATTATGCTGATGCAGACACTAGATTTTACACATGACAAACTTGGAGGATCACTCGACAACTTAAAGAAGTTGTAATACAGGTAAGTAGATTGATTATGGATTCTCTTTTTAAAGAAAATTATTTTCCCTAATAATTAGAGATTCTAATAAACCATTTGTGTAGAGCTGGAATTGATTGATATTATATATATCAACATGTAGTATAAGCGTATCGTATCCAACTCATTAGTCGTATGTATAGCTAGGTAGGATGCATTGTAAATCTAAAGTGATTTTCTTTTTCTTGATTCTTTCAATTAGTTCTTAATGATGAGCAATAATTTTGGTGGTTTAACATGCTGACTGACATTTTGTGGTGGCATTATACTAATTGTTGTTAAGAATTAAAATGTGCTAGTTGTAAAAGTCAACTAAAGCATTCGAAGGGGAACAAGAATGCGTTGCCTTCAGCGTACGTTGTACACTGACTAAGTCCTTTGCGACTGGACATTCATTTTTAGATTGCTCATACACATTAGTATGATGTTTCTTTCATCTCAAAAAAATAAAAAATAAAATAAAATTATTGAGTTAAAATAATACAATAAATACAAGGAAAAATTTTGGGTTATAGGCAGTAGGTAGTAAATAATTAATAAAGAAGATAGTACTCTTGAATAATTTGTATTATAGGCATAGTAATTCAAGATACAATCATGACTCTAACTTTTGAAATAAAATATTTTTTTTCCATTTGATTTTTTAACTAATAAATTAAAATCTATTTTCAAATGTGTGTAAATGATAATATTTTAAAATTAATGTGGAAAAATTAAATATTACACGATGAAATAATATATATGTTGACTTTGAAAATAAAGATTAATATTTCCTAATTTCTAATCGGTGATTTTATTCTTTTCCCCGAATAATTTCAATTTTTATAAGTAAACCATTTTCCCCCTTCACATGAACTGAATGGAAATTATATAAATTATTATTCCAAACCCTTGTACTTAAATGAGCCGTACAACCCATTTTACAAGAGTTAAATTAATTAAATTTATTTTGTATTAATGAACATTTTAAATTTAATAATATCAAAACTTTTGTATATGTAAGACTCTTGAGGCTGTATCCAGTATATCCGGGGGCACAGTGCCCCCCTCCTATTTTTTGCACGAGGAGTTCTTATTGTATTTTTCATCAATCTTTTTATGATTTGCAAGTTTAGTCCCTGTGATTTTTTTTCTCTCTCATTTAAAAAATATCTCTAATCTTTAAATAACCATATCTCATAATCCGTAAAGAATTAGAGTACTCGTTGAGATCTATTCAACAATATCCATATCCAATATTTTTTTCTAACTTAAAAATGATCAAATTTCTTTGGGCAGAATTAAGTTGGATATCCAGTACAAACAAGTTGGATATCCAGTATAAATAAGTTGGATAATCAGAATGAACACAGTGGATAACCAGTTCAAACAATTTGGATAACCAACTTGTTCTAAATTGGTTATCC